TTAGCCTTGTTTCGAGCAAATACACGTTGTTGTCTTGGTTTAAGATTCCTACTTATAATTATTCCTAAATATTTCTCACAGTTGGATTCCTCAAAACAACTTTGTTCATCTGATATCTGGTTTCTCTCCTTACATCTCCTAGAGATATCTCCCTATGTACAGTACACCACTTCATCAAGCTCCAAACTTCCACGCACGAATGTAAGTATCGGTGACTTAAGTTTCTCATACAAAATATAGGTATATATTAGTGCACTAAGGTATAATATAAGTTGCTCTTCACGGTTTTGCCAATTCGCACCATTTCTTGAAACCTAACCCTCGCAAATGGCAAGGGTTTACTGTACAGTAATGGGAACTGTTAAGAGAGTCGTACAAAGTTGAAGTGTGTTTCTTATGGAATACTGTACATTATTACTGTACTACAATACGTATGTCTGTTCATGAAAATTAGAAGCACATAGTACATGTTAATAACAAAGCATACTGTACTTATTAAATTATTAACTTATCATGAGGCAGTTAAGCCGTGAGGTGATGAGGCGGTCGAGTCTTGAGTCAGTTGAGGCAGGTGATTGTACGACACTCGCAATGTACACCACCGAAGGTGAAGTGGAGGTTATTTTTTCACAGCTAATTTCATTGACTATATGTACTGTACACTAAAGTACAGGGTGTATTCATATTTAGACACTTCTTCTGCCTTCTCAGAAGCAGCTATTGAGTTACTCTCCTGTGCCACCACAGTGTCAGCCCCCACTTAAACGAACTTTCCCCCATACTGTACTAAGTTGATTTTGGTTGTGTTTTTCCAGGTTAGGGATATACGAGTATGTGTCCAGTGATAGACCCCAGTTCGGTATGCAAGGGGATCCAGATTAAGCGAGTCCGGATTAGAGGGAGTTTCTTGTACTTTAAGTCTAAAAACAAAACGGTTGCTTCCATTTATAAATAATACCTTAAACGTGTGATACAATACTGAAAAAAAATATTTCAAAGGTCTGAGAATACAGGGATATACAGTTTAAATATTTTTACAAATGCAGGAATGCAAATTACAATACATTCAGTACAACACTAAAATAATGAACCTAACGTCACAGAGATAAATTTGGAATCAACAAATTCCCAAATATTAACTAAATACTTATGGAAATACTCAAGATAAAAGACTAACCCCCATCTGTGCTCAATCAACCAAAATGTGCAAGTATATATTCACAAAATATAAATAATGACAAACTGAAAATTATTTGAATCATCATTGTTCAAAAGACATGGTGTGCAGAACATTGGGTTACACATTAAAATAACAGGAGTAAACTTATATGTAAATCATGAAACTTAAAGGAACACACAAAAAGTTTTGAAAAAAAAATTCATATTAGATACTATATTTGTTAAATGTTTGAAAATTACCAATCTGGTCCACAGTGTAAGTGTGGAAGATTGATTCTGAAATACCATTTATAACTGAGCCAAGACTGTCAGCCAGTTTATCCAGTGTGAGAAGAATGGGAAGCTTTACCACAAATAAAATGGTTTCTTTAACTCTCCCTTGTAGTTCAGTTTTAAAACCAGCACCTCAGCTCCAGCTCTCCTCAACAATGCAAAAGAGAGGAAGTAATCCTTGCTCAGTTATAAAATGGGGTTTCAGAGTCAATCCTCTATTTATAACTTGACACAAGTCTTGAGCAACTCCGGTACACCAAAGCTAGCTGCAAACTGGAGGTGGGGTGGGTACTAAAAATTTCCAACTGTTATACACAACCTGTACCAGCAATTGAAGTTCTGAACCTAGTTAGAAGCCAGTCCCTGATGGATGAATGAGAGGAAATTTACCTTTTCATTACCATCATGTAGTCCTAAGGTAATGAGCCAATAGCAGCTACTAAAGTACAGTTCAGTACCTGATACCCTGACTCATCTCTGTAGGATGTGCCATCTAGGGCATCCAACTACAGTATGAAACACCACCACTACCACTTAGGTCCCTTGTCCACTGAATTAGACAAGACCGACAAAATATGAAACCAAGGAGGTTTCAGGTTCAGACTCCACCAAGTTCATAACTAATCACACCTCCATTATATTAGACAATATGAATATCTATATCACTTGTCTGAAATACTTTAACATGACACCTGAGAACTTAGTGAAGATTTTAAAGTTACCTTCAACCCAAACACGAGAACCTGGAAACTGAAGAATTTTCTAAAATATTTATTATTTGAAAGTCTTCAGGTAACACTTGAGCCACGTAACTGTTCAAGACACTACAGTTCTGAAAACCCTGGGATTTTTAATCCTTAAATACTGTATAAACCGATGCGCCCCAGCCAACTGGAAGGTCTCACTGTCTCCAGCCCCCATGGTTGGACTTACCCCACACATGAAGAAACACAGGGATTAATGTTTCTTATGCAGCCTGTGCAAGGGGCAGAAAGGCAGCTCTCACCAATATAGCAGGAACCCTTAACAGATCAAGGAGTAAACACTCATGTATTACCAATTGTTTGCTACGACCTCATTAAATCACTAGACCTTAACCCCTGAGAGGGTAATTGTTCCCTATTAACTTTTAAACCCTGGGTGACGTTCCTGAACGTTAACCTAGGCGACCCTGATTGACATTCCTGAACATTCTTAATTTTTGCTGCATATTTTGAATGTCCAGGCATGAGGAAATACTTTGTATGGGATATTTGTCTAATTGTTATCTCAACTAATGTGTAATACAGTATTACCCCGCCTAACGCGGTTTCACTTAACGCGTTTTTTCATATACGCGGTGCCTCGCCAGAGCTGAACTTTCACTTGACACGGATTTTTTCCACATATACGCGGTGAGTGTCCGGCTCGAGACGCTATTTTTAGATTTGCCCCACCCGCCACCCTGTCTGACTGCCTGTTTTAGCTCATAAAATTCATACAAATTACCCGGCCAGAATATAATTTACATTGCTGGAATTCTTATAATTTGGTGATCATTTTGAATATAAACATCATATATTTTGCATTAGACATACAAATTTTAGATAAAATGTTTTCTCTAAGTAAATATGTTATCTTTTGTGCAAAATATATGACATTTATATTCAAAATATTCCTGGTCTTACAAGGAATCCAGCAATGTCAATTGTATTATCCTAACTTTAGTTTGAGGTATTATTTATTAAAATTTAGTGGTTTTCCCCAAAAATTTCTCAGAGAGGGAAGAGCCAGCAGTGTTGTGTGAGAAGAGGGGGAGGGAGTTGAGTCCATTATTTGAATGGACATTAACTTGGCGACTGTATTTCTCTATTTCTCTTAAGTATTAATTGTGTGCATGTACCATCATAAAATTAAGATGTTATTTTTACTACAACATAGTTATGTGTCTTCAAAAAGTGGAGTTTGGGGTTCGGGCTGGTTTCTATTGGAATTAATCCCATATGTTCTGTTGTTCACTTAACGCGGGACCCTCTGGGTTCTATTGACCGCGTTAAGTGGGGTACAACTGTATTTGTTTCAAGACTCTTGCCTCATTGTCAGTTACCTGCTACATATCATGAGGAATGGAGGAGTGAGATGGGGAAGAAGGGGTCCTTAAATCCCTTCTTCCCCATCTCACTCCTCCACATCCAAGTGCAAGTGAAGGTATTTACTTGACATTAGTGCTGTTCGTCAAGTGTTCCTTGACTTGAGTGGCATTAGTATAGTGTAGGGTGACAAACACAGTGATGGGGAGGAAACAGAACCCAGATAATGTCGAGTTTATTGAGGCAATGAAGACAGTGATAGGCCTACAGACAATGACTCTCCCTCCCTACCCACCCTGCCAATATATCCCACAAAGATATAGCAACTTGGTGCAAGGAGTGTGGAGTTGCCTTATGCATTCCGTATTACAAAGACTTCCACATGATCAAGAAGTTATAAATTCAGTAGAACTACGTACATGTAAATACAAGTACAGTTCTCCTCGACTTAAGACATATTCGACTTATGACAACCCGGACATACGACGGCCATGATCGTATAAAATATTTTTCACATTACGTATTTTCGAATCCCAAGTTAGTGATCGCGATGTGTACTGACAAAATTTTCGTTTGTAATTCCCTTTAAAATGGCTGGCAAGCATAAAAGTGAGAGTTCTCGTGGTGTTGAGAAGAAAAAGAGACACCCATTTTAGAATTTCTATGTATTATTTTCGCCTTTTCGACTTACAACCAATTTGACTTACAATCTGGTCGTCGGGACGGAATCCCCGTCGTAAGTCGAAGAAAGACTGTAGTGTATGTATTTGAAAATACAGTGATCCCTCGGTTAACGAATTATCTTCCATAAGATTCTTCACTTCGGTTAACGAAAAAATTTCGATTAACGAATTTTTTACGAATTTTTCCCGACATGTTTTCGCCTGCTCATCAGCTGTAGTATTAGTCCGCCAATACAGTAATCGGTTTTAGGGCTTAAATTCGTTACCATTTGAGTAAATATCAAGAAGGTTGTACTATTCAACAATTTTCCAAATCGTATATTAAAGTTTTTAGTAATTTTAACAATTATTTAACAAAATTGAAGTACAGGGAAATAGTTTTTAGTGCACCAAACAGCCACTTGACTCACCCAAAATGGCATCAGTGTGTGTCTCTGCTCAGTGGAGGAAGCTTCTTGCTTGAGACTCTTGAACATAACATATTTTTACGTTTTTACAGTACAATTATTGGTCATTCTGAAGTTTATTTTACATATTGACAATATATAATGCAGTGCAGTGTTGATTTAAAGAAAATAATCTTGAATTACACCAAGTGAACTAAAATTTTATGGGTGAAATGGCAGCATGGGGTGACTTCTCTTCCACCCCAATGCCTTCTCTTCTCCCTTCTCCTCCACCCCCATTCTAATTTCCATCATCATCAACCAGGAGCCTTCTACATACACACCTCAAAGTAAGTGTGCTTTACTGCATTTATTTTTAGTTTGTATGTAATTTTCGGTGAGCTGGAACCAATACCCAAAATCCCATTGAAACAATGGTTTCGGTTAACGAAATTTTTGGTTAATGAACGACCTTCTGGAACGAATTGTGTTCGTTAACTTAGGGACCACTGTATAATGATAATAAAATACAGTGATAAGTTTTATGCTGCCTGAATATTCTTACCAGTATTTTATAGTTCTTTTGAGAAAAATTTAAATATTTTGTGTTTTGTAATAACTATAAGGTAGACATATGACATAAAAGGGCCTTCAAGTAAGAATTGTGTGTTGTAAGTGTGTGGCAACATCACTTCCTGTTCACTTTAAGCTGTGTACAGTAACTTCAAACATGACATCTTTCATCACTCCACATCAACACTCCAGACAACTCTCCAACTATGCTACAGTGAAAGTTGAATGTAAGTACATTATTCTGGTATTTTTCTTATACTGATTGACCCATTTATAAGGTGACAATGGATTTTTTTATTTTTTTTTTTTATGTGCCCAGATGGGGGATTCAGCAGGTCTTACAATGCCCGGGGTCTAAGGGATAAAACAGGGAAAGAGAGTCTTCCTGGACTCCTGCTAGAAGAGCTCAGATATGGAAACCCTGAGACCAGGATTCTCACATAAGATAAACATCAAGGTAATTGTTAGCCAAAACTGGACATAGAGTTCTCCAAATACCTGAGGCCAAACTGGAGGTGTGTACCAACCAAACATAGCCTAGCTGCACTCAAAGTGAACCTTACCAGTTGACCTGAAAAAAATGTGTCAATAATCCTATAAACATGTTTACCATAATTTACTCAACATATAATGATCAGTCAGTGGAAGAAATCACTAAGTCTCACAGACAGTTTACGTTGTCAGAGTGAATCACCAACCAGTTTACGACTTAATAGGAACAATTACATAAAATGGTACTATGTCACTAATATCCCCCAGGAGTGTTTTACCTTATGGGACCTGTGTTTCATCCTGTAGACCTGTGTGAACTTGTATCAAGTTATAAAGTCTTTAATTAAAACAATACAGTACCAGTACATATTCAGTGTTTCCTCATGTGAAGTTACTTTTGGTAGCACACTGTGTAACTTAAGAGACCGCAAAGTCAAGTAAAAAAAAAAGTATGGAGTAGTGTAGAGAGTCCTAGTACAGTATAACCAGTTTTACTCTTTACAAATCATAAGAAACCCTGACACTAGATACCAGATACCTTAACTATGATAACACTGCATTTCTGAACTCCCTTAATAAATTACAAAATTAAGAAAAAGGTCAAATTCTTCATAAATACTTGTACACCTAAACTTCAATCACACAACATTCTAATTATAAGCATAAAATAATAACAAGAGTATTTATGAAATCACTCACAATAATCCCACAGTATAACATGTTTTAATGTAATGCAAGGAATGAATTACAGCTCTTCCTCAAGTAATGTGGTAAGCAAATAATTAATGCTTCATGGCTGTTCCTCCCTAAACCCTAGAATAAGCAGAGGCAGCAACTATCAGGAAGCAAATTGAGGAATTTGCCTTGCTTGGAAAGGCAATATATTCTGCACATTCCTGTATTTATGAACTGCATTTTATGGCTGTACAGTACTTATATCCTTTAGTGTAGCAGTTGATATTTTATATAATGATAACCACTGTAGCAGCAGCTGCAGTAGACACTGTCATGGCACCCCACTAAAACCCAAAGACCTCCCATGTGTGGATTTGCTATGACTTCAATGTGTTTATGTTCACATTAGTAGTATAACAGTATAATATAAAATCTTGTTATTTTATTAGTTATTGTATCATAGCAGGTTGGGCATGTCACATAAAATGGTGCCAGGCTGATGTGTGGGAGGTGAGGATGGGTACAACTGAGCCTCTCAGTCATGGAGTGTGGAAGCTTAGGAAAATTCTCAGGCTGAGTTAGACATAATATATATACCTGATTTCTATGTAGGAATATTACAAGATTCAAACTTAACCAAACCCAGTTCCTGCAAATGTTAAGGAATTAATGTACTGTACAGTACTCTTTTATTTTTACCCAATTGAATAATTCAATTGGCGTAAGTTATTTCAGTGTGGCACACATTTATAACCCCTACGCCACAGCATAGTATGTAACAGCCTTGCTTCTTTTAGTGATAAAATATTTAACGAAAAGAAAGAGTGAATGTACCTCTGTATATGTGTGTGTGTGTGAGTGAGATGTGTGTTTGTCTGCATGCACATGCAGGTGTGTGTTTAGTGAACGAAGGGAATAATTTGGTCCTAGCAAATGTGAGAAGAGTTCAAAGACAAACTGTGACTGTTGAAGTGTATCTGCTCCTTGCTGTCCTAACACTTCTAAGAGAAGAAACAGGTAGCTTAGTATTCATCTGTGATCTTTTAATTCTTTTCATCATTCATACATATTTTAACTGGGGCAACATTTCAACTTCACTTTTGTCAGCTTATTAGGCAGACAGAAGCAACTGGTAGGACTTACAATATCATATTTTCTCACTCCATTTCTTACGTACAAGACAGATGATGCTACAGTTAAACAACTTTAAATATTACACAAATGTACTAACTCTGAATCAACAAACTTTGGGTTCTTCATAAGCCCTTTAAGAATTATTAAATATTTACTGAATAAAGCCACTTCATCTGAACTAATTCTTATCAAAATCAAATTCTTAACAAAAAATAATTTTTGATGGTTTGAAAAATCCAGATTTTTTTAGTACAGTACTGTACAGTACTAAACTGCTGTGGTTCAATATTAAAAATAAGTTTCAAGATTGTTATACATATTAACATGATTGATTACTTGTAGAACTAGGAGGAGTGTTTTTTGAACGTGCCTTAGAAAAGTCCAATTTAAGATAGGTCTCAAACATACGTCTGGCCTGACCAAGTACCTTATTTACATTGTGTTGTCGAACCATCTTGTCAAAGTGCATAGCTAGCTCATTGTGATCCATTTTATTTTGCATTATAAGTTGACGATGTTGTAGGAGAAGGGTGAGGCACAGAAACATGAGAAATGGGTTTCCACCACCAAATTCTTCAGGAGGAGGCATTGTATGAACCTGTGGAGATCCACTAGCACTCACAGTAACTTGCCAACCAGTGACTTCAGTTACTTCTTCACAAGAATTAACACTAGCGGTCATGGTAGCCTCGTTCTCACCTTCCACTTCTGACTGTTGATGTTGACCATTAGTTTTAGGAGTGAGCTGCTGAATGGTAGTAGGTTGTTCCTCTTGACAAACAATTTGTAACTGCTGATCGGTCTCTGGTGACAGTGTTGCAACGGGGTTCTGCCAAACATCTACCTCCCCACCATCTGAGTACACAGGCACACCAACATCAGCATCGGAGTCTGAAAAACATCTTCGAGATTTGTTGCTCAAGTTTTCACCTAAAACTGATACTGACTTGAAATTCTCATCCTTTTTTCTATTTGAAATCTTTTTGTCTTTACAAGGTGAAGCTGGATTACTCTCACAATCTGAATCTTTATTTTTAGTCAAAAGCTGAAATTCTCTCAGATTTCTAATTTTCCTGATATTCCTGGTTGGACTGTCTTCTGGTGAAGTACTTTCCTCTCTTATCCTATCAACATTCATTGCAGTTTCACCACTCGGCACCCGTGTTCTCACACGAGAAGTGTCTATAGGCTGGGACCATGTCCGACTTAGTTTCTTCCCGCCTGCACCAGTTTCAGGGCCATCACAGTCCACACTAGCTGCTCGTCTACTCAAGATGGCTGCAAGACACTCAGCACTTCTGTTTGAGACACAGGACCGCTGTCGTCTCAGGGCACACACGTTATCATAATGGTTTTGTCGAGGTGTGGGTGGTGGAACGGGAGTCTCTTCCTCTTGAACTGGATTGAATTGCACCTGAAATTCAAACCTGAGGGATATTACACATTCTGTAAAGTGATATCTGACATTACACACGAGAGAAGAAATTGCTATATTGTACAGTATATAGAAACAAGTTGACATTTAGAGTATTGTATATGCTGATTACTCACTTCCAGGAATGAGATTGGTTAATACAAATTACTCATGGGAGCACTGAGAGATGTGTTATTTTGACCATTACCAATTATTCTCAAACTCCACTCTATTCTTCAAATGATTTCTATTATCCTTCATGTAATTCTTTAACTTCTTCGTTTCTACCTTTCATTGTCTTTAAGTTTAACATTTTAATTCTGCCTTTTTCTGCCAATGCAAATGTTGCAGTAAAACATATGCAACACATACATGATAGTCAAGTAACATTCTCACCACAATGTTTTTTATGCAAAAATCCTTCCAACAAGTTTTGTCGTGTCTCACAGGTTTACTGCCCAAGTCCTTCTCATGATCCTTGCCAGACCTGATGTGGTTATACTTTGTAATATTACCTACAATCTTTTGCTGTTATGCTGTAGATAAATGATTAGAGTAGATCCTGGGGTGTTGTCTTAGTTACCCAGCAACCTTCATACTGTTTGTATGTATGTTTTTGGTAATGGTCAGAGAGAGAGTTGCCACACTTTATTACTTGATATTTCTAAATGGTTCTTTATTGGCATTATTGTTTTAATGAACAGAAAATAAATTTGTAGGGAAGCAAGGAGAAGACAAATATGAACCAACAAATACCTGTATAACATGTGGTGTTACCTGTTTACAATAATGTCCTAAAGGTGTTTTGCTTCTGTCTGCAGAGTTTAAGTATCCACCAACTTGAAGGATATTTATTTTCAGTTTTTTGACTGATTCCCAAGTCACTCAGTAAAACTATACAGTAATAGCATTATTAACCCTGGATAGAATGTACAAAAAATACACAATTGTTCCTGAAATCCCATTTTATAACTGAGGCTGGAATAGATGATTCTTGTTGGCACAACTAGCCGAGTGTACAGAGATAAAACTCTGATCAGCCTCTTGAAATAGAGGCTGGAGAGACTAATCAAATGATTCACAAAGTTTCCAGCTTCAGTATAGTTATACCTGAAAAGGAGCTTAAAATCTAGTGCTGCCCCTAGAAGCTGAAAACTGAGTCATTACCACATCAACAGTGCATATTTCTACATTCACCTATTTAGTTATTCAGTCTTACGTTGAGGGGCACCGATATCTCCCATAATTAACCAGTGCCTAATTTACACTAAACTATGTACAGGTATCCCCCAATTTACGAGTTCCCTATTTACGATATTTCATTTGAACAATGGTGATGTATTAAGACCACCTCCCTATTTACAATAAAAAAAATTTGCTTGAACGATCGTCACTGTCCCGCCAAAATCACTGATGCGCGTAATATGGAACACATCTCGCTCTCCACCTGTCAGATGCAGCATCATCAACCCGCACACCACCACCCAGTGCACTACAGTCCCACACTTCGTGCAATGGTGATCACATCTGCCTGTGATCATGTAGCTCAATGATTATCAGTCAATATCAGTGTTGTTACTTAACAGCAGGATTTTTTTTTTTTTTTTTTTAGTGAGAAACATCACTAACATTCAGATTGTAATCAGTTTTTGTGATTGTGAAGTGGTTTCACTTTGTTTTTGTGACACGTGCTTTTGCTCTGTTTTTGTGACAAGTACTTTGACTCTGTTTTTGTGACTTGTGAAGGAGTGCAACTTTGAAAATGTCTAGCAAGTGTGTTGCTGAGGCTCCTGCATCTGGAAAGACCAAGGCACCAAGGAAAACCATGTTTCTGAAGGTGAAACTGCAGAGGCTATGTGGGAGTCAGAGTGACGTCTCCTCTTAGCTTTGAAGGGGACATAATTATGATGATGACCAAGCTCGTTCTTAATGGTGTGGTGAGTGTTGTTTAATTGTGTTTTAGTTACGTATTTTATTAGTGCAGGTTTATTGTTTGTTTTTTTCTCGGTGATACATGTGGGTGTCAGACTGGCTGGGAAAGTATCCCATTGAACCCCCATCTCTTAATGCTCCCGATACATGTACAGTATTTCAATTTAAGATGGGTTTTTCAGGAACGTAACTCCAGCGTAAATTGCAGGATACCTGTACACCCACCTCTCGTTTTACGCGGGGGTTACGTTCTTGAAAACCACTGCTTACAGTGAGTTCTGCTATAACGCGTGTTTTGATAACGCGAATTTGCGCTAACGCGATATATGAATAGAGGAACGATATTTGTGTAACGCAAACGCTTGTTTGCTGTAACGCGATTTTTGCTTACTATTTCTCCAATTTTGTGGTATTAACTGTGAATATGTTAAAGAAGAATATCTCCAAGAAGCGTTCTGGTGATCGAATTCCCGGTGATGATCGTAAAAGAAAGGATATAACACTTGAAGAGAAGCTCGATGTTATCAACCTCAAAATCACCCTTCTCCCCCATCAAGTTATATTCATATTTTTTCAAGGTAAAGTGTTACATTTACTGTATGATTTCATTATTAGATATGAATGTAACATTTATTTAGACTGTGCTATCCTTTGTGTTAGGCTAACTACTAATTTTTTTTCGATTTCGAGTAGTAATCTGCACCTAACCCTATATTCTCCATAAGCCCTGTTATTTCTATTACGCGATTTTCTATAACACGATATTTTACAAGAACACAACTATCACGTTATAGCAGAACTGACTGTAATTAAAAAACGCATAAATTAAATATAATTTTCCCATAAGAATACATGTAAATGGTACACGTTAGAGGAACCATTATATACCATACAGGGTACAAACAGTGCTCTCACTTAAACCAACCACGTGGCCAACCTCCGACACACGCTCTCTTCTCTGAAGGCGGGTGATCACATTTAATTTCACATCTATTGCAATTGTTTTTCGTGCCTTTTTAGCTTTAGGTGCCCCAGAGGAGGCAGATGGACTTTTCCAGACATGCTCAATGGGGAAAACAGCGTTTAACACTTTGAAAAGGTATGTGATAAACACACAATGCAAATGAGAGCACAGAGAAAAAGTAGTGCTGGTGTGAACTGAGAAAGCGATATGTGGGAAGCTTGCTGGACGTTGTCACAGTTGTTGCACAGAATACTTCATTATCTTCATCATTAGTAGTAATAATCTTTATCATTACATTATTATAATACCGTAATTCCCTGTATTATTATTAATAATAATTATATTAAAATCGTTGGTGTTGATATGACTGCGACTTTATAGTAATAACTTACAAGCATCTCACTAGTCATCACATGCAACTCCATTGCCAGGCAACCAGGCAAATACGCGTGGCAAATTGAAACTGTCTTGAGCGCATTATTTCAAAAATAAGTGCTCGTAAATTAGCTTTTGTTATTAATTGAACAATCGGGTTATTCCAAAAACGCTTACATCAAACACGAGTTACCCGTACAGTACATGACTCTTAAAGATGGGATGGTCATTAATCATGGAGAAAACATTTCATAAAAACACCAGAATATAAGGGTTTTTTATAATGTATATAGTTAAATACAAAAGGAAAGTACAGTACTATAATAATAAAGAATAGGATCTATAGAGCAAAATGACTTATAAACAATATGTAAAGAAGCCATTTACTGCCAAGACAACTGAGCAAATATGAGAGGTGTGTGGTGCACTTGTTGTCTGTCTGGCAGGAAATAACTTGCATTAATTACTTACAACCTAATATACGGTGAAATTCATTCACTACATCATGGTAATATACAGTATACTGTATCCAACACACAATGCACACATGCAAGCACATAATCTTACACATAAACACACTTCCATACACATGCAAACATTCTTACATTCATATACAAATAATCATATACAATCTTCATCACACATACAGCACTGTACTCCTAAACACACATGCACACCCACCCACAAATGATGCAGGTAGCCACAAGGAAGCAGAACCCTGAACAGATCTAAGACCTTTCATTATTATTCCCATCTTCCAGGAGTACTGTACTTCCACTGTGCTCCCTTAAAATGAAAATAATCCTTGAAGAACTTGGATCTTTTTGTAAAGTATTTGTTCCCTGGTCATTTATCTGTACATTATGTGAATCATGTGTGTCCTCTGTGATTTTTTTAATGCAAACCAACTTGGAAAGTTGCTCAAGGTATTAGATATTTGGACCCATATTCTGGAACAGGGTGGTAATATCGACAATATATACCTAGATTTTACCAAGGCTTTCGACAGTGTACCCCAAAAAAGGCTGAAAATCAAACTGGAAGGGTACGGAATTCGGGGAAATGTCCTAGCGTGGATAAAAGACTTTCTACATGACCGCAAGCAGTGTGTGGTGACTAATGGCACGAAATCATCATTTGTACCTGTCACAAGCGGGTTACCAAAGGGCAGTGTATTGGGCCCGCTGTTGTTTGTTTGTTTCATAAATGACATGCCTGACGTTGTACACTCCTCCATACAAATGTTTGCGGATGACGCTAAGTTATTTTGGGAAATCAAGAACCAAGCAGACTGTGAAGAGCTGCAGAAGGATCTCTGTGAGCTCCAAGAATGGTCGAAGAAATGGCTGCTGAGATTCAATGTCACGAAGTGTAAGAGGATGCACCTGGGGCGTACCAACGGTAAGGAGGAGTATCGTATGTCCCAACGGGATGAAGAAACTGCACTGTTTGAGACTGAATGTGAGAAGGACCTAGGTGTGTATGTTGACAATGAGCTGAAGTTCTCGGGCCATTGTGAGAAGGTAAATCGGGCAAATAAATTCTTAGGTCTTATAAGAAGGTCGTTCAGATATCAAGACGGTTCGTCCCTCATAACGATCTTCAAGAGTGAAATGCTTCCCCATCTGGATTACTGCCACCCTGTCTGGTCCCTGAGATATACTAGGGACTGTCAGTTGGTCGAAAATGTTTAAAGGAGGGCCACCAGACTGGTGTCTGCACTTCGGCACCTCAACTACCCTGAGAGATTGGAGTGCCTGAACTTGCCTAGCTTATACTACAGATGGGCAAGGGGCGACCTAATTGAGGTGTGTAAGCATCTCAGGGGGCACTACTCAGTCGAGTGTCCTTGGAGGTGGCGGACGCTCGTCCCACAAGGGGTTACAGCTCAAGATTGAAGAAGCCGCAGGTCCAGAAAACTGTGAGGGCAAACTTTTTTGAGTGTAAGCTCTTTCAAGACCAGACTTGACAGACAATGGAGCAGGTTCAGGTACATTCATGGGCCAGTGCATGCCCAGTACTTGCCAACAGTGCGTAACGGACGTGACTGATCGCCCAAGCGGCTAACAAGCTGATTAGTGGTGAAGAGGATAAAAAAATCACATTATCACATCTAACCCATGCAAGCATGTAAAATTATCATAAAATAGTGATCATACATATATATATATATATATACAGTACTGTATTATCAAACCTCAAACAGTGGCAAGGACTCCTCAGGAGGGTTTGGTGGTAGGGAGCTCCAGAGAACTTCTAACATATACAGGGCATCATCAAAGGCAAATTCACGTTTTAATTCCAACAACAACCATCGGTAGCAAAAGAGAAGGTCATCAGCCTGTAAGGGAGAGGTTAAGAACACATTAATATGTAAATCTCATTAAAGTAATTAGGAAGGTATCCCATTCTCTGGTGAAATCTGTCAAAAGTCAAAGATTAAAAATAAGATGAAAATTTTATTTGCTCTGAAGCCTTCTGTTGAGCACACACTACTGATACATATTGTCTATACAGAATAGGATAAAGCAATTTAAAAATTATTGCCCTATAACCACTGGTTATAGGGCAATAATCATCAATAAGTACATACCTGGTGAAGCTGAAGATAGGAGAAGTATTCTATATCGTAAAATATGAGAGCTTCAGTGAGATGCTGAAACTTGAGTGTCATGGCATTACCATCAATGTGAAAGTTGGAGTGAACTCGAGCCATGAGAGCACAGAAGCACACATATGCCTGCGCCTCATCCCTCATTGTTACCAAGAGCGGTGAGGCCAAGTCACTCATGCCCTGACAATACCCAACTGATGGGTGATTCAGTGCATATCTGTTCCCAAGAAAATCAATATTATATGTTTAGAATAAAATATTTTCATTTTATTATCAGTAGCAAATCTATATACAGTACTGTACTATACATGTATTGTACAGTGGTCCCTCGGTTAACGAACACAATTCAATGGGATTTTGGGTAATTGGTTCCAGCTCACCGAAAATTACATACAAACTAAAAATAAATGCAATAAAGTACACTTACTTTGAGGTGTGCATGATGATGATGGGAATTAGAATGGGGGTGGAGGAGAAGGGAGAAGAGAAGGCATTGTGGTGGAAGAGAAGACACCCCATGCTTCATGTTGCCATTTCACCATAAAATTTTAGTTCACTTGGTGTAATTCAAGATTATTTTCTTTAAATCAACACTACAATGCATTATATATTGTCAATATGTAAAATAAACTTCAGAATGACCAATAATTGTACTGTAAAAACGTAAAATAGTTTATGTTCAAGAGAGTCTCAAGCAAGAAGCTTCCTCCACTGAGCAGGGACACACACTAACGCCATTTTGGGCGAGTCAAGTGGCTGTTTGGCGCGCTAAAAACTAGTTCCCTGTACTTCAATTTTGTTAAATAAATGTTAAAATTACTAAAAACTTTAATATAAGACTTGGAAAATTATTGAATAGTACAACCTTCTTGATATTTACTCAAATGGTAACGAATTTAAGCCCTAAAACCGATTACTGTATTGGTGGATTAATACTACAGCTGATGAGCAGGCGAAAGTAGGCGAAAACATGTTGGTAAAAATTCGTAAGGAATTCGTTAACCGAACTGAAGAATCTTATGGAAGGTAATTCATTCACCGAAATTTCGTTAACCGAGGCGTTCGTTAACCGAGGGATCACTGTATAGGCAGACCTCAATTTACGTAAAGATTGTGTTCCTGAAAAACCTTTCAGAATATATCCTACAAAAAAAAATTCAAAAGAAAATATACCAAATGACACCAAAGGCCTATTTATGTTATGTATTTTCTATTGAAAATAATAAATTCCTTTCAGAATTTTTTTCAGTACAGTTGGAGTATATGTACTGTCTCTGAACTCATCATTAGTTAGACATACAGTATTGTATGATGTAAAACATTATTTTCTTTCTCAATTTATATTTCTGCATGTACAGGAAACCTTTATATACTCATACTGTATAGTATTGGTATTGTTTATCTCACTCCAGAAACTATTCACTGACTCCCCTCACAGAGGGAAGGGCACTGGTACAGAGTCCACACATACCTCCTCTTGTAGAGAGGAAGGAGCACTGAATAATGGTACACTATATATTACAAGCTTGTCACCACTCATGTAGTTACCTTCCCAATAATATCTGCTCCCATCAATTTAACAGAAAAGATTTTATGAATATGAATCCTACCATTAAAACCAGAAAGCCAAGATCATTCCTCAAACAAACTGTTTAGGCATTGTACCAGGATGAGGAGCCTCAAGCTGTTGATCTTCAAAACTACAATAAACAAAACTACAATAAACAGACTCACAGGTCAAACTAGCCCAGAGAAGGTTTTCCCTCCATCTGGAATACTGGTCTCATCTGTATGAGTAAGAAATGTGTCAACAGCTCCAAGGGCTAAAGAACTGTTAATAAATGCTGAGAACTTTGCAAGGATAGTTACAGCAAAACAGAGTTCATTTTCTATTACTCTAATACAGTAAAACAGTATGGTACCTCTATTTTTTTAGATACAATATATATGTTCTAACCCCTTGATAAAAACTGGTTAAATGAAAATTAATACTTAACATACATACAGGAAAACAAAACAAGTGGAAACTTACGTGGTTAATATATTATACAGACTCTGAACATTACTGTTGTCGTCAGGTCCGCTGAAGTAAGAGTGATGTCGGTCAGTGCGCAGGACGTCCTTACGAACCATATTTGTCACATACTTAACTTCCTCACTGACCTGCTGCATAAGACGAAGGTAAAGAACTCATAGATTTCAGTTCTGTTATTACACGTCAAACATAAAATAATTACCCATTTGTTAATCTGTACAGTACAGTATTATATTTCACTGGCCCATGTCTTAAGAATATGTATACAGTAATACTGTAGGATCACTGAAAGATGAGATACCCAATGTTAATTCACCAGAAGATTAACCACCCTAATGGTAACGAAATACCCCAGGCAGCATTAGGGTGGTTAATCTTAAGGTGATCCACATAATTAAGTGTACTAAACATAAGTTTCAAAATGTGAACTGTATGTTTGTAAATATTCTGTGCATAAATTATATCATGGGAACTAAAATACAACATGTCAGTAACAACACACTGATTCCTTAAGATGAATTCATACACTTTCTGCCTCACAACAAATGTGGTCATAATAGTATAGTGAGTGGCCTTCCAGAGGGGTGTCACCTGACTTAGCATGATGAAGTTTGTCATAAACTAGTACAGAACTGCAGTACATAAAGCTAAAATAGGAGCATTTGGATGCCAGAGAAATATAAGAATATTTCCTTTTCATAAATGTTTTAAATGTGTTATGAGGACAGTGTACAGTATACTGTAGTTGTGAAAACTAAAATACTGTACTGCATTTTTTCATTTACTATTTCTAATAATTTTTAACCAAGATTTCACCAGAAAAAAATGGTCTTCCCATTTATGTGTGCTGATCATTTAATGATAACTACACTCATGACACTACTGCATTGCAAGTGTCCAGCTCATTCCTTATGTTGTACTATGAGGCTATATGTAAAATCATTTTCACTTTTAAGACCAGACCATATTTTTTTCAGTTTCAATTTCTGTTATTTAGCTCTTATGTTAAGTGCAGGTGTTGTGGTAAACCATGGAGTACTAGTGTTAACATACCAAGATGTGATGCTCTGCTGTCTGGTCTGCTATTTCATTCTGTGAATCAAATATAACTTCGTGAATAACAACTTTCTGTATTATTCACTTTAAAATATCAAATTTTCTTGAACTGTTGATGTAATCTGGTTTATTTTATTTGAATAACAATTATTTCTGCACAAGTACCTGTACAGTAGACCCTCAATTTCCATGGGTTCCGTGAGTGCAGTTTTGATATACCACAATAAATTAATTCAGACCATAATATCTATTCTACAGCAATACAGCATCATACCACAGATGATGATGTATTGTAAATGCTTACGGTACATAATGTCACAGCTCTTGACCTCAAGGTTATCAAAGTAGATTTTATTGTGAAACTGACAGCATACTTTGGAATCCACAGGTATTCATCAGACAGCCTTCACCTAAACTTCTCATCAATCTTACAACCATACAAGAAAATATGAACATCTAACATACAGTACTTCTCCAATATGTGCTCTCTGTACCTGCCTACACCATGTACTGTATGTGTAACTGTAATTAATTTTTGATACATTTAGACCCATTATTCAATACCCTAATTTTTTTCTACATACAAAACCTGATAAATCATTAAAAGCTAAACACTGTCATTATCTCAAAGGAGCAAACAGAGATCAACAAGATAGAGGAAATGAAAGTTTTAACCACCTGGTTATCATCATTGAGGTGCTCCTGCCATACTGCTCTCAGTGCTTCATATTCCTTAGTTTTCTGTTTCATGTAGTCTAGTCTCTCTCTCCCTGTCAGGCCTTCAGGGTATACATTCAGTAAATGCTTCCATATCACCTTTCTGCACAAAAATACATCGTATCTGAATGTATAATTAAAGTTAGGTCTGAGGTTCAGTAAATCATGGTAATGGAGATAAAGATTTCATTAATGAATAATATATAAAGCATAGAAAATCCTATTGTGAAGAATTATTTGACAAGTAAATCACAGCACAATATGTATAAATGAAATCTCTACCAATAATTATATCACACACCTACACCTCAAAATTCTCCAGGATCTTCTCTCTTCCTGCCAGTTCCCAGCACCATACATGACATAACAGGATATTCACAATACACAAGATTATTATAAGGAGCTGTGTAAAATAAGTTAAGCAAAATGTAGAGTGTCCTCCTGGGACACATTTCCTCATGTATGACTAACCTGAGGGATGGTTCAAGACCTCCGAGGTACACACAAAGACGTAGTTCCTTTGGATGAGCGAGTTGTCCCACACGATTTAGCATCTGCTGGAACTCTGAGTCAGTGAGAGGGGGTCTAATTGGTCGAAAAGATGCTTCATCACCTTCTTCATTCCAACTTAAGGCTTTCTGAACAATTGATAAAGTCTTCTCCATCTGTTTAGGAATGTTTTAGCATTAATTATTTTTCTCAAACACTTAACAATCACTCCTGTAAAGTCTATGTCAATTTATCTCAGTGCTTCCAGAAATTATTCTCTTTCCCATGATTTTTCCTTCCAATATTGTCCTCAGCATTGTCTACTTTACAAAAACACGTATGACTGTAAAGTATCACTGCTGTCTCTAATAACTTGTTTCTAAAATAACTCTTTTATAATTTATATCACTCAACACTTCTGATATTGCTAATGCTGAAACAGGTATACGTATCTGATAATGCTAATACTTTATTATCTGATGCCTCTGATAACGGCTCTCTTTAGTAATAAATATTTTATTAAAGAGAAACCATCCCTATTAACAAAAGAGTGAGAATTTTTTTAAATGTTGCCAGAAATTAATGAACATCCATTAACTCCAAACCCTGAAATACTGTATTTCAAGAGTGAACTGAAAACAAATAATTATTTGCACTTCAAGACCATGTTCATAATTATATGGAAGGAATTGTGTGAATAATATACACACAGTAATACTGTACTGCCACTAATACCTTTTCTTTGAAGATCCCTGGGAGTTTGGCAGAGTAGTTGTTCCTTGGAAGGTCAGGGAGAGAAAGTTTTGCAATATCCATATTGGTGACAGCATCCCAGGTACCATTAGATGATGACAACTCTACCTTCACTAAGAGGTATGGATCAGCAGACCTGTTGGCAAGGAAATATTGTACAAGACTTTAGGGAGAAGCATCAGTTAAAACAACTTTCCTCAAACACAACAATATAAGGACCTTTCATTTCCTTCAAAATTAGTTCTTCAAAGGACTCCACGTAACCAAATACGAGTGCAGTATGCAGAACAAAACACACACACACACACTCTCCACTGGAAAACTTTGTCACTGTCAGACTTCCTTGAAACATATTTTTAAACCAATTTCCTTAGTGGAATTAATGACTATGGAAATAAGTAGAATGAATACAGACATGTTGTGAGAACAGCATCTGAATACTAAACACCTGAAGTAATAACTGCAACATTTACCTATGTCCACACCTAAACTCGCCCCCTAGGCCCCGCTGTGGGTCGATGATCTGTGCCCGGGTGGGCTATTCCCCATAAAAAAATCAAGTGCAGTAAAAACTTACTTGACAAAGGCCATCTCCAGATCAAAATCAGATGACATAGGGACCCAACAAGCCTCTGGGAACCGATCATCACGAGCTAAATAACAAGTCTGGAACTCTCTGTAGAAAAAGTATCATGTGAATTCAACTAACATCCTCAGCTGATAGATATTGCATTACTTAATCCTGATGCTACAAAACATAATACAATAATTACATTTTCTAACTTCATCAACTTAAATTCAAAGGTAAACTATAATTAGACAATGTTAAGTTAATATCTATGATCAAAACAATGAATTTTGCCTATAACACACAAGAGAAATTACTCTAAAGCTTACTTCCTTACCCTTTAAGATCAAAGGCCCTGGCAATCAAATTCCTTAACACCTCATAGCCAGTCAGTTCAGGATCTACACTGAAGCGGCAGCACTGGGAGTCAACTTCACAATGACTGTGCTGCAATTATTAATAGAAACACGTATTGTGATTACTTTCATTAAACAGCCTGGTGTCCCCACCATATTTTTGCAACAAATAAAAATGACATATTATTCACTTCCTTTACTTTGTTAGTGCTATACTGTACTGTACTGTGTTGCACTGTATTATCACATATTGTACAGTACTATTATAAATAAAAATGTATCCAGTAATACCAGAAATGGTGACTAAAGTAAAAAATAATTACACTGTATTCCACACCAGATGGAAAAACATGATGACAGACATAAAGATAAAAATATAACCACTACTGTATTTCCAACTTTAGCAAGAATGAACTGTACAGTACTGTACTCTGGAACACCAACTTGTGATAACCACCAACTTTACAGACAAAAATTACAAAAAAAAAATCTTACCTCCAGAATATAAAAAAAAGTGAAGGAATTGCAACTTTCATAATTTCTTTCTATTGGGGATTATTTTTTCCTGAAGATGAATGAAAATTGATTCATTAGCTCCTGGTAAAGCCACATTGACTTGTTTACATCATAAGATTTGAAATAAGATGACCCAACCCAACCTATCCCTCCTAAGACAGAAGTAGTTATATTAGGAGAGGTTAGGTTAGGTTAGGTATGAAAAGATCACTGGGAAGCATTCAGTTAGTCACTGGAAGGTGTTTATCAACAGAAAAAGCACAAACATGGAGTCCTCACATACATGGACCATAATTACTCAGGTAAAAACAAGAGAAAATAGTAATTCTTCCACTTTATTTATTTTACAGGTAAGAAACAAGTTTTCTTCACTAAATGTATTCCTTAGTGTAGCTGGTTATCACGAGTTAGGGTTCTACAGTGGCTGTGGATCTTTGGTAACTTTAAAAAAATATATAATTTAATTAGAAATTTTATTAAGGAAATACACAGAGTGGTACATTGTGCTCACAAGTTTGTTCCTTCTACAATCAGTTATAATTCAGAGGTGGTGTGTGTCAAGTGGCCATGGCGAGGCAGGAGTCATGCTGGTACAGTATTAGAGGTCATAAAGAACCTGTAGCTACTTGTGTATATGTACTGGGATGTTCCTAATACAGGTGAAAGTTACTGTACATACCTGGTGGCCACATGAATAATACATAAATAAAAACATGCTCAAATTAATAAAACCTTTACAAAAGTAAACAAAAAGGGAGAGGCTGTAAAATAACACTTAAAAAGGATAGTTAAGTGTGTCAGCCAGCCCCTCACATTCATCACCTGTCTGGCCTCTACCACTAACTGTTAATTCTACGGTTACAAGAAATAAATATTAAGGAATTAAGTGTTGAAATTCAGGGAATTATTAATTAATTTAAAAAAATATAGCTAAAATTAAAAGACGGAGTCGATATAAACAAGCTTTGCGACATTCCAGTCTTCACAATGGTACCACCGTGTTAAAGGAATAACTTCCCACTAGCCGCTCACCTGGATCACTTTAATTCTTACTGCATCCCTTGATGGGGTCGCTGTCGTTAAGGCTGTTGCCATTTCTTCAATTAATCGATTATTCTGCCTGTACGATGGTAGTTACCCATAACAGCTGACAGCATCCATTTGACAGCTACTCGGGTAGACCAAACATGAAGCACACCACCAACAGAAGCAAGATACAATATTAATTTGTAAATATAAAAATTTTAAAGTAAAAATTTAATATGTTATATTCAATTTTCTAAATAAATGTTAGCAGTTGGTTAAATTTATCGAATAAACAAGTTATAATTCTGGTTCAACGTAATTCTATATCGCTAACTTACTTGATATAACATTTACCCGTAGAGGTCGCGAACCATATATTTTTTTAGTGTATAGAAATTTACTGTTTATTTAACTATTTACTTTTCACTTACAGCTTCCAAATAATTTTGAATGTCAACCTGATAATAACATTAAGTGTGAATTAGATATACAAGTGCACGAAGCGTATTAATTATTCCCCAAATGTCTCGTTGTTTTATCATTCCTTTACATCGCGGTCTCTGCTACCAATAATAATTTATATCCTCATCATTCACACTCAATTTCACTACATAGTATTTTTTACGTATTAAGCGAAATGCCCTCCACATTAACTGCATATATATAATAAACAAATAAGGTGGTACATATACATATATATTTTAACCTCACAATGGACGACAAATTTGGATGGCACAGATTGACAATGTACCAGTGTGTATACTGATAGGGATGAGACTTTGTTCAAGCTGTGAGAAGCAAGAAGATTAAGTCATCTGAGAGACTTAGAATAATGTGACTTGGCAAACTTATGCATTAAAATCAATCACGTAGATAAGGAAAAAATATATTGGAGCCATTAAACTTCCTTATAAAGCCCCGAACTCGACATGACCTTTATCGTGTTTCATCCTAGGCATAATTAAACGGTATGCTGCCTGTCTAATAGCCAGCTATACCTATCTCCTGGAGAAATGAGTCACTTGTAGTCTGGGTTCTCAAGACCTGTGACCTCTTTCATTGTCAGTGAAGCTTTATTCAGTTTTATTTTATTTATTTATTTATTTATCTATTTTTTTTACGGGTATTAGCCCACCCGGGAACAGGTCACCGACCCACATCGGGGCCTGGGGGTCGAAAATGTAATAATAATAACAATAATTATAATAATTAGTTCATAGTAAATAAAATCTATAATAAAAATAAATAAAATAATAACAATAATACTAATAACAACAACACTGATAATAATAATAATAATAATAATAATAATAATAATAATAATAATAATATAATAATAAAAAAGAACCATAAAGAAATACAAAAATTTAAAAAAAAGATCAATAGTGAGAAACGATATATGTAGGCCTATGTTGTGTTTTCAAGGTAAGAGAAACAATTGAGACCCTGCAATTGTGTGTAAATGAGACAGAAATTCAGATCAGCAACCTGGGACTTGGTCACAATTTTCGTGGCGCCATATGGCAGCAGGGTCTACCATTAGACAACACATTATGCTTCCAATATCTTCCCAGGTGGTAGTACCTCCCTGTTTGGTAGCTGCCTACTACCTACTTTGAGTGAAGATTTTTTTTTTTAGTTATACACTAAATGTTAACACTTGTAGCCTGGAGGTTGAGGTGGGGCGTCGCCACCTTAGTGCAGGCTGTGGTCAGTTAAACCCTCAGAACCAATAAAAATGTCTTTCTATGAGACATATATACTGATTTTCAGATATCATTCACAGTATTCTTGAGTACATGTATACAACCAACCTCCTCAGACACTCATCTTTCCAATTTACATAATCTTAAAGACTGTGGATCTGAGCAAGTCAGGAAGAAATAAGCAGTTACGTTCACCAAACTCTGAAAATTATCATTGAATTCTCTTATTTTTTCAATACTGGGAAATGACCTATGACTCATGTAGGCTAAACCTCTACTTGGGAAAGAACATATTACTGTAAAAAAAATCAGACATAACATTTTAATCATTTGAGTCAGGATTCAGACTGTGAAGAACGCTTCAGAAGAACAGGCTTTATGTAGCTTTTGTCTGTAGATGTTGGAGTTGAACCACAGTATTGATGTGGGTTTAGTCTCATCATTACGGGATTAAGATACAAGAATAACACAAACAAAGTGACGAAAATACTAATGGCTTTATAGGCACATGTCCCCTTTAGAATGAGTCACCCCCTACCTAAGTGTTGTCAGTTTTCTCTTCCTCAACCGTAATTCGCAATTCTATCTTGTCACTTCGTTGCTACATAAATCCTTTCAACTCGTTTACCATTGAGGTCCTTGTGTCTTATTATAGTTCACTCGTCTAACTCCTTGAATGGAACCTGATATTCTCAAGTTCTTTATTATTAGAGATGGTATTCTATTATTGTTTTCCTTTGAGAGCGCAGTTCAACGATTTAATGTATTTCTATATTTAATATTGAAACATAATTCATCTTTTTCCACAGATCGTTTAAATATTTTTCTTTATTTCCTTCCTTAGGGGGGTATAGACGAGGGTTTAGAAAGGACTATATAGTTGAGCCAATAATATTGTTTAACTAAAAAACTACTTGATATTGCTAAATGTTTTAATGGGAGTTTTCACAGTCCCGGGTTACTAACAAGTGAGGCTGATTATATTCATCTCCTTACAGAACACAACAGCTGGACACACGACAAGAACAATTAACTTCAGAACAAGAGAACGAAAACAAATAACCGTCTTACTCTTTACATACAAGTTCACACTGATTCAGCATGTATAGTTAAATCTTGAAGTTGATGTATTATATAAGCCCGAGCAGAAGACAGGGAAAGATTAGTTGGGTTATTTAAGTTAGGTTAAATTATTGGGGTTAGTTATGTCAGGTTAGGTTAGGCTAGCAGAGCATTATCTCATGTCACCACCCACGCTCGTATTATAATTATGTTAGTGAACATTGAATTCCAAACTAATATAATTCTGCTTTGATGTTTATTCTCTTCACAGGTTGTGAGGTGACAGGGCGTCTCCTGTGCTGTACTGACCCGTCCCGTCCGTGACTGGTGGTGGTGGACAAACTCAAACAAGTTAGTAGCCTCTTCCTCCGTATCAAAATTTAATATGTACATTGTCACTTTGGTAATTATATTAACTTTTTGAGTAATTCACTTAAGTTTGTATACCAAAAATAATAAAACTTGTTATTGGATAAGCAAAATGATCAATTAAGGCGGCTAAAATTTTATTGAGTTCTTTATTAAGACGACCATTTTCGTTCATGTGCTATATTCAAAATAAGTTGAATATTTTATTCGTCTTCTGATCATTATACTGCCAGATGCTGTTTTCACTCGTCAAACGCTACAGTAAGCTGTGTAACCATCAAAATGCATCAAACCTGTTTGACAAGGAGTGTCTCAGGGACCCCCCCCACCACCGACCACTGCATCCAGCCTGACCACTACACTTTCTCGATAACTCTTATTATAGCAACTATTGTATACGTTATGAGAAATATAAAATGTGAAATGTATTTTCCCCTTAAAATTCACTGTACTATGTTAATTATATAACGTAAAAGAAAATTAACATGGTTAAATGTCCGTAGAGGGCCCGAAGGCGGGCGGAGCAGCGCTCTGGGCCCGGGAATTATTGGAACCCTCAGTACACAATGTTATGGCGGTGCGTCAGCATGTACGGAGCTGTGTGTGTTAAAATGTAGACGTACTGTGGTTTCTTTTTGGTTACCAAGGATAATAATCGGTTTTAGTAGTTCTCTCGAGTAGTGCCCCCATCATCATGGCGTCAGAAAGGTAAGAAGTGTTCCTTGTGCTGCCTGAATGAGTATTGTTAGTGATTTGAGTGAAAGATGATTCAGGCGGGGCAGTGTTTCACGTTCAAACAGTGAGGCGGCTGGCACTGTGTCACGACCCTGCCACCACTGATACACGTAAGAAACGACTACAGTAATATTACTATACACATATCGATTACTGTCTCTTATGGGGTAGAAAATAACCCGAGTAGTGGAGATGGGTTGCATTTATCCATCAACAACAACTCCCTCATAAGTTGGTCTGTATAGGAAACAACAACAGCTATTACAATTTATGGAAAGGAGTTGTAGGTATGAGTGAGGGAGCGTGGCTGGTGTTGTCCCACCCAGATGTTACAGGCCAAGTGTTATTACTGCTACCACTCACAACACGCCTCACAGCACACTGGAAACACAACACCACGTCATGTCACTACCAAACCATACTTCAAGTCTACATCACATCACTCACCATGACAATGCCACACCTCTCACCATAACACTGCCACACCTCTCATCATAACACTGCCACACCACTCACCATAATACTACATACCACTACCCACACTACAATACATTACTCACCACTACACCAGAGTACATACCACACACCGTATCACACCTCACCATAACACACCACACTATAACACAAACACCATAACACAACATGCCACACCACACCATAACACAACATGCCACACCTCACCATAACACAAAACGCCACACCACACCGCCAGTGGTGGTGTGGTTGAAGTGGAAAAGGTAAGGTGATGGTGTGGTTTCCTGATCTTCAAATAGTAGTGGGGGACCAGGAGCTTAGACCACCTGGCCTGACTCCTCTATAATATGACACCATAGAGCATCACACACACACAATGGCTTCATGTCTACCTCCTCTTTATTAAGGAGGATGCTCAATTATCTCTCACCATATTGTTACCCAAGTTCCCCGGACCGGGCTGCTGTCTATTCACGTTCTGCTCACACCTGACGGATTACCTAGAGAGCTTTTAAATAATGCATCGACTGTAATTGAACGTTGGCGAGGTACTTGACACTTTGAGACGTGGTGAGTGAGACCTCTGTTATATATTATGATAGACGTTGGTCGCGTCGTTACTTCTGTTGTGTGAGACATATTATGGATCACCCGAAGATTAGCCCAGCACTCCCGGCTTAGTTCACTCAGTGATTAAACTCCCAAACGCTACCTGGGGGGTTAGATTGGATTAGCGTTAGGGCTGTTAATCTTAAGATGATATAAGCTGGTGGGGCAAATCTTTAGTTGATCCGATATTATCCACTTGGGGCTAACCTGTCTGTCATGGTATGTATACCAGTCTGTGGGTAATATTATTTATTAGGGAGGCAATAAGGTGCCGTTTGACTGTCATACGAGCTTGTCTGACTGTTTATAGTTGTCGATTCTTCTGAATTTGAAATACTTTACGTCTTCACCAGTTTCCTTTAACAGGCTTACAAGGTAGTTACCGTAACACAGTGTGTACCGTAGTACTATAAAAACATAACCAGTTTAGGAGTTCACCTTGAGGCGCGTGTGTGGGTCAGGTAAATAGGTACAGTATAACTCTTCCACAACAACAACTCTTCATGGGGGTTAGGTAACATCACCGCCGCCTCCCGTAATCTCCTCAACTACCAGCTCCTTCTGCTCTTCATTTGCATTTTCGTTTTAATCCAAGTTGTGAATAAATGCGCTGTGTCGTCGTTGTTGGAGAACGAGCTGATGCCTCACAAATACTGTACCAGGATTCAGAGATTATCTTCATCCCCATTTCTTGATTCAGTATGTCCCTCTTACTTATCACTACCCGTAACTAAAGCGTCGACGAGTAGCATGAGTAACCATATTTATTGTATGTAGCCTTGCTGGTGTGTTAAGAGGGTGGAGGCTGGGACCAAGAACACCAACATTGGGTAGAACTGATGATAACTACAGTATACCCGCAAGACCTGGCCATCGACTGAGTCTCATATCCTACCGTCACACCAACCAGGCTCTTTGTGGGGAGAGTTCCAGTTATCTACTATATGGAAGGATTCAGTAAACTTGGCAGGTCACAAGGGTGGGGGGGGGGGAGTACAGTGTGGAGAAAGAAAGGCAATGTTGATATGAAGGAAGACAGGGAGAGGGAATACCATAACTCACTACCACATTATGTTGAGCAAGACAGTGTCAGCCAGTGTTGCATGACGCTGGGCAGTAAATGTGAAGGTTAATATACCATCATATAGGTGGTGAGGGGAGGGTTAGGAAATGCAGATCTGGTTCCCGATTTCTACCCCACGTGCCCTGCCTAGTAATTTATGGCCTGTTTTGTCTCGCATCTAAAGTAAGGTGTTTATTTAGCAGCTACAGGTAAGTTAGTGACTTAAATTTTTTTTATTCAGAGGATAGCAGTACTGTTGCTTATTATTCTGATGTGGCTGTATTTTTTTGACTTGTGGTTTGTCAATGTAAACATTTGCCTGTGTGTGTGTGTGTCATCCCAGCCTCAGGAGCTACATGATTCCACATCTCTTCTCTTACATTCCATCAAGTAGATTTGGGGCCTGGGAAAGGCGTTCGCTGCAACACACATATTTGGTGAACAAACATATCGGGAGCAGTAAAAGTTAGGGCAGATTTTTGTGTGGGTTTGCATAGAGGGCGGCGAGGGTTATTACTATAATGAGTTTGATACGTTTTGTTGGTTTAAGGTGTGTGTGGACCGCTGGTTTAGTTAAGGTGTGTGAATTTGTTAGTTAGGTGTGTGTAATTGTTGGTTTAGTTAGGGTGTGTGTGACTGTTGAGGGTGTGTGTAACTGCTGGTTTAGTTAAGGTGTGTGTAACTGTTGGTTTGTTAAGGTGTGTGTAATTGTTGGTTTAGTTAAGGTGTGTGTAACTGTTGGTTTAGTTATGCAACTGTTGGTTTAGTTAGGTGTGTGTGACTGTTGGGTTAATTAGGTGTGTGTAACTGTTGGTTTAGTTAAGGTGTGTAACTGTTGGTTTAGTTAAGGTGTGTGTAATGTTGGTTTGTTAAGGTGTGTGAACTGTTGGTTTAGTTAGGTGTGTGTAACTGTTGGTTTAGAGTAAGGGTGTGTGTGTGACTGTTGGTTTAGTTAAGGTGTGTGTACTGTTGGTTTAGTTAGTGTGTGACTGTTGATTAGGTAGTGTGTAACTGCTGGTTTAGTTTGTGTGTAACTGTTGGTTTAGTTAGGTGTGTGTACTGTTGGTTTAGTTAGGTGTGTGTAACTGCTGGTTTGAAGCGTGTGTAACTGTTGGTTTAGTTAGTGCACTGCTGGGTTAATTAGGGTGAAACTTGGTTTAGCTAAGGTGTGTAACTGTTGGTTTAGTTAAGGTGTGTAATTGTTGGTTTAAGGAAAATGTTGGTTTAGTTAGTGATTGTTGGAAGGGTGTGTGTAACTGTTGGTTTAGTTGGTGTGTAACTGTTGGTTTAGTTAAGGTGTGTTACTGTTGGTTTAGTTAGTGTGTGACTGTTGTTAATTAGGTGTGTGTAACTGTTGGTTTAGTTAAGGTGTGTGTAACTGCTGGTTTAGAGGTGTGTACTGTTGGTTTAGTTAAGGTGTGTAACTGTTGGTTTAGTTAAGGTGTGTAACTGTTGGTTTAAGTTAAGGTGTGTGTAACTGTTGGTTTAGTTAGGTGTGTGTAACTGTTGGTTTAGTTAGTGTGTGTAACTGCGTTTGAAGTGGTGTGTGTAACTGTTGGTTTAGTTAAGGTGTGTAACTGCGTTTAGTTGTGTGTGTGTAACTGTTGGTTTAGTTAAGGTGTGTGTAACTGTTGGTTTAGTTAAGGTGTGTGTAACTGTTGGTTGAAGTTATGTGTAACTGTTGGTTTAGTTAGGTGTGTGTAACTGTTGGTTTAGTTAGGTGTGTGTAACTGTTGGTTTAGTTAGGTGTGTAACTGTTGGTTTAGTTAAGGTGTGTGTAACTGTTGGTTTAGTTAAGGTGTGTAACTGCTGGTTTAGTAAGGTGTGTGTAACTGTTGGTTTAGTTAAGGTGTGTGTAACTGTTGGTTTAGTTAGGTGTGTGTAACTGTTGGTTTAGTTAGGTGTGTAACTGTTGGTTTAGTTAGGTGTGTGAACTGTTGGTTTAGTTAAGGTGTGTGTAACTGTTGGTTTAGTTAAGGGTGTGTAAGGTTAGTTGTGTAACTGTTGGTTTAGTTAAGGTTGTGCAACTGTTGGTTTAGTTAGGGTGTGTAATCTGCGTTTAGTTAAGGTTGTGTAACTGTTGGTTTTAGTTAGGGTGTAACTGTGTTTAGTAGGGTGTGTTGTTGGTTTAGTTGTGTAACTGTTGGTTTAGTTAAGGTGTGTGTAACTGTTGGTTTAGTTAGTGTGTGTAACTGTTGGTTTAGTTAGGTGTAACTGTTGGTTTAACTTTATGTGTGTGTACGTTGGTTAAGGTGTGTGTAACTGTTGGTTTAGTTAGGTGTGTGTAACTGTTGGTTTAGTTAGGTGTGTGTAACTGTTGGTTTAGTTAGGTTGTGTGTAACTGTTGGTTTAGTTATGTGTGTAACTGTTGGTTTAGTTAAGGTGTGTAACTGTTGGTTTAGTTAAGGTGTGTGTAACTGTTGGTTTAGTTAGGTGTGTGTAACTGTTGGTTTAGTTAAGGTGTGTGTAACTGTTGGTTTAGTTAAGGTGTGTGTAACTGTTGGTTTAGTTAGGTGTGTGTAACTGTTGGTTTAAGTAAGGTGTGTGAACTGTTGGTTTAGTTAAGGTGTGTGTAACTGTTGGTTTAGTTAAGGTGTGTGTAACTGTTGGTTTAGTTAAGGTGTGTGTAACTGTTGGTTTAGTTAAGGTGTGTAACTGTTGGTTTAGTTAGTGTGTGTAACTGTTGGTTTAGTTAAGGTTGTGTAACTGTGGTTTAGTTAAGGTGTGTAACTGTTGGTTTAGTTAGGTGTGTGTAACTGTTGGTTTAGTTAAGGTGTGTGTAACTGTTGGTTTAGTTAAGGTTGTGTAACTGTTGGTTTAGTTAGGT